TTTCCACCAACTTTTTCAATATCAACTTATTACCAAACACCGGAAAGTTAAAATCCCAACAAAATTTCATTAAAAAATTCGCAACTTTTTATACTGTATTTTCTTAGGTAATTTTTTAATTAAAATTTTTTTCAGTAAAACTGACATCCAATCAAACAGGACTTTAGTCCAAATCAAGCTGAAAGCCTGAAATCAGCAATATCCATGTAGGAGCCCATATTGAATTTGGGCCCTAAGGAAATGGACCCTTTTATGCTAAAAAAGATGTAAAATCCAGAGAAGTCAGTCCAATTCCTTTTGGGCTCTGCTATCCCGTTAACTTTGGGAGAGTAAACGACGCCGTTACAGGAACCGGGTTCACAGTCATGGTTGTGGAGTCGCCCGCACTGTATATAAACCCAACTTCATTTGTCTCCCTCCACTACCTCTAGGGCTAAACTTTCTCTCTCGCATTCCGACTCTCCATCTTCTCCGTCTCCCTCTCGCGCGAAATCTCATGGCGCCGCCTCCTGGACCTTACTCCGGCACCAGCACTCTCGCTCTGGTAATTCCCTTTTTCCTTTGTTTGGCTCCCTAGAATTTGCGGGAAAAAAAGAAAACTATTTAAACAGATCTCACATCGCTTCATTCTCGTATTATTGGATTTCTCCTTTCATACCACAGGAAAGTTTTTTATATCGTATTTGTTTGTTCAACATTTTGTAATTAATTGATTCGATCACTGGTGTTTCGGAAAACAGGTTGCTCGGGCGTCTGCTTTCTCCTTTGGAGTCGTTTATGGGAGCATCAAACTCAAATATTTGAAGGTAATCTTTTTATTTTTGGTTTTAATATGCAGAAACATGAATAGAGGTCTGTAATAATTTTTTTTTTTTCATGTTTTATCTGAGTTATTAGTATACTTTTTTGGACAGTTGATTATGTAAGCAGTTTTTTTAGTTTTAATTCGTGGTGGTTTATTTAGTTTAGATCTGCAAATTGGGACTTTATTTAGTTAAAAGTCGATTTTATTGCATTAATGTAAAGGTTTGTTAATGGGTATGAATAATGTTGGAGGTCTTGCAATGTAGTAAATGTAAGAAACATGGACGTGGCAGAGTGAGCTGTGGAGTTGTTTTTCTAGTTCTGTATTCTTATAAATAAGAACAGTTTGCCAGAACAAATTAAGATCATAGAAGTTGGCCTCAAAACCTGAGACGTCATTTGCCATTTAGGAATGTGACTGGAAGTAAGACTGCAAAGGCATAAAGTGTTAGTTTGCTGCTTCGGAGCAATCATTCAACAGACTAAAAGCAGTGTTGCTGAAGGCGCTGGTCACCTCTAGGCAGTAGGCCTCCGCCTAGAGCTTAGGCGACACCCAGATTACCTTGGTGATTTGTGCACCACCTTTTTTCTTAAAAATAAAAATCCAAAAAGTTTAGAAAAATCGGGGAAAATAAAAAAAAAA